ACTGTATATTCACAATGGCACAAACGAATAACGCCGTTAACGGCGAGACAAAATTAATTTTTTTTTTTAAACTAAAATGACGCGTTTTTCCTGAAAACGATGTCGTTTTGGACTCGTGTCCACAATACATTGTGGACACGAGTCCACTGCATAATTTGCGATGTATTGCGGTGTGGACTACGCAATACAACAAATTAAAGTAAATGCATAGAACATATTATCAGAAGTGTAATTAATTAGCATGGAAATCTAGACATGGAAAGTTTCATAGGAAACTAAACTCACATACATTTTTCCATGCCCCTAGACTACGCATTACAAATCAACCAAGTCAATGCAACTCATGCATGCAAATACTATTAACGGTCTGTTCAGGTAGAGTGAATTATAATTTTACTCCCACCTATTTTTGAAAACAAGCTGGAAATTATAATTTCGTGAAAATGCAATTTCCTTTATTTTGACGAAATTAAAATCATTTGTCTTCCCTTGGTATTTATAATTTCTTGGAATTGCAATTTCTTCATCAAGATACCATTGAGATAAAATTGCCTTTGGTCATTTGTCTATTCACCTCCCTAGCATCGTGTATCTCCTACTTTTATCTGGTTGTCATATCTTTTATAAAATCAGTTGGTAATAAATAGATGGACATTAACCATTTAACCACAACCCTCCATGAATGTTACGTATCGAATCGAGTATAAGTTGCACTTTGTCGACCCCGATGCCCAACAATTATGACAATAAATTACTACATTAAAATTTATATAAAAATTACTATATCATAATTTATATATACAACAAATATTAAAAGTTTTCATGAATTAACATATTTTTAATTTCCTTGCCCATGGGTTACGTTAAGAAACCTAGTCAATGCATGCAAAGACTTCATTAATGTACCTATTACTCACTCACTATAGATGACCATAGAATAGACTCTAATTTGTGGAAAACTAGACATCAAGATAAGGATTATATTGATTATGACATTAAATTACAACATTTTAAATTAAGGAAAAAAAAAAAAGGAATAAAATTGAATTTCGTATAAGAATGATTAAAAATAGTGCTGCCTTATTATTTTTAAAAAAAAAAACAAAAGAAAAGAATCCCTCGAAAAGAAAAAAAAAAAAAAAAACAAAACAAAACAAAAGAAAAGACACAAGAAACCTTATAAAAGCAAATTAAATTTCCCTTTTATGAAAAATAAAAAAATTGTTTTGTAATATCATACCCTTCCAATTTTGGGATTTACAAGCCATAAAAGAAGAGTGATCACAAACACACAAAGTTAACATTACCTGAAAACCAATATAATTTTACAAACTTAGCTATGAAGAAGATTAAAAGTACAATTTTCTTCTGTTTTATTATAAATTTGACAATTTAAAGTAGATCAAATTTTAATATTTAATTTCCAACTTGAAAATCCATCTAAAATTATATCAATATTTTAAGTGTGAATGTTAAATTACTGATGAACTTTAAAAATTTAACCATAATTATCACCCAAAAAATTCTTGTAATTTTCATCTCTCTCAGGTCAAACAACAGAAATGTAATTAATTGCTATTGTGATTAATTCATATTCCATGCCTAATTACTCATAGTGAAATAGAGACTAATTTTAACATTGAACTACTACATATAAACTATATATCATATTTTATACAGTAAATATAAGTGATCATTAATCATTATACAGTTCATAAAATTAATTTTGTCTTTTAAAAATTAAAATAGTAAGCAACAGGAAACCTTAAAAACGAAAATCTCCTCTTTTTATTTTTTTTAATTGGATAAAATTTTATTTGTCTAAAATTAAAATTTTATCTAAAATTATATTATATTTTCTCACTGGACACTTATATATTCCTTCATCTATATAAATAATACACATAACAATTCAATTCTTGCAAACCAAACAAAATTAAACATGAAAGAAAGTCATTTGCTCGTTTCTTTGCTCTACTTCTTCGTCATATTCTTGTTTACTTTGCCATATGTCTCCTCCTCCTCCTCCTCTTCTTCTTTGAAGCATCACCTCTGCTCTCCTGCTGATGCCTCTCTGCTACTGCAATTCAAAAACCATTTTAACGTCGATGAATATCTGTCATCCATATGTGAGGACAACTTCTCGACATTAGAGGGGTTAATTATTAATGGTGGCCAACCAATAAAGAAGCTCTGTTGGGATGAGGGGTCAGATTGTTGCAAATGGGAGGGTGTTACCTGTGATGCCTCCACTGCCCATGTCATTGCATTGGACCTTAGCTGCAGCAATCTTCAAGGATCCATCAGCACTAACAGCACCCTTTTCCAACTTCATCACCTTCAAACCCTCAATCTTGCCTTTAATCATTTCTCTTCTGCCTCTCTTTCACATGTGATTGGTGGTTTGACTGGCTTGACTCACCTCAACCTTTCAACCACTTTCTTATCCGGAACCATCCCATCTGAAATCTCACAGTTGTCCAAGTTAGTTTCTCTAGATCTTTCTTATAATTTTGAAGGCAATAATAGTTCGGATTTATTGTTTCTTCACAATCTCACCAAGCTTGAGGTATTCTCTATGGTTGGTACTGGTCTCTCATGTACCATACCAAGGAATATATCTGCTCCATTACGATATTTAGATCTTTCATTGAACAATATATTTGGCTCCATTCCTGAAAGTATTTTCCAACTGCCAAAGTTAGAATTACTTATTCTTTTTCGTAACTGGGAGCTAGTTGGTTCATTGCCAAAGCTTGGTTGGAATTGCAATCAAACACTACAAGTGTTAGATCTTAGTTTCACAAATATTTCTGGAGAGCTACCAAATTCAATTAGCAATCTCAGGTCCTTGAAGTATTTTATACTTAGAGAGAGTAGTTTTTCCGATTTTATTCCAGAAACAATTGGCAACCTAACAAATTTGAATGTAATGGATTTTGAGGGTAATGAATTCAGTGGTAGTGTCCCACTCAAAATCTCAAATTTGAACCAACTAACTAGGTTAGACCTTTCAAACAACCATTTTGAGGGAGAAATTCAAGATATCTTTTCTAACTTCCAACAGCTCACCAATTTACATCTCACTGGAAACAATTTCTATGGTCGTTTCCCATCTTCAATTGTAAACCTTACCCAACTTGAATTTTTAGATTTATCTGAAAATTCACAAATTGGTCCTCTCCCGTCTGTTGCAACCGGACTCCAAAAACTCCAATATTTATACTTATATGAAAACACACTAAATGGCACTATACCTCCCTGGGTTTTTAGCATTCCTTCTTTAGTCTATTTGAAACTTGAACAAAACCAGTTTACTGGGAGTCTTCCTGAGATTTCATGCAAATCATCATTACAACTAGTTGATTTATCCAAAAATCAACTGGATGGTTTGATCCCTGATTCAATTTCAAAACTTCTTCATGTAGAATACCTATTCTTAGCATCCAACAATTTCAGTGGTGCTATACCTCCCTCGGTTTTTTGCATTCCTTCTTTACTCAATTTGGACCTTAGCCAGAATCAGTTTACCGAGAATCTTCCTGAGATTTCATGCAAATCATCATTAATCTCTGTTGATTTATCTAATAATCAACTAGATGGTTTCATCCCTCATTCAATTTCAAACCTTCTCCATGCAACAGTCCTCAACTTTGCATCCAACAATTTCAGTGGGGAGGTGGCCACAGGAATTTTTTTGAGCATTAAAGATCTTGCAGTGCTTAATTTTCAATCCAACCATCTCCAAGGACCTTTAGATATAGCTATTTGCAACTTGACTGCGCTTGAGTTTTTAATCTTAAAAAATAACAAGCTCAATGGCACAATCCCACAATGTCTGGGTGAACATCACAACCTTTCTGTGTTGGATTTGGGAATGAATAACTTCAATTGGATTTTTCCCACCATGTTTGGAAAGGGCAACAGCTTAACAACCATAGCTTTGAATGGGAATCAACTCCGAGGACCTATTCCAAGATCTTTGGTCAATTGCAGTCAACTAGAGGCTCTTGATTTGGGAAACAACAAGTTAGAAGATACATTTCCAAAGTGGTTTGAAAATCTTCTAGAGTTACAGGTTTTAGTATTGGGATCTAATAGACTGTATGGACCCATAACCTCATTCAATTCTACAATTTGGTTTCCCAGTTTGCAGATCCTTGATCTCTCTTGTAATAGTTTTACAGGAGTCCTCCCAAAATATTTTTTTAGTGGCTTTAAAGGTATGGTAAATGTCATACATGAAAGTCAACAAGAAGCAAGCTATTTGGAAATACAAACCTCTGGCTTGTGGTCATATGACATTTCAATCACTTTAATGATGAAAGGGTATGAGATTCAACTAGAAAAGGTTTTGACCATCTTAGCTACAATTGATTTGTCAAGCAACAAACTTGAAGGAGAGATTCCAATGCTCATTGGAAACTTGAATGCACTAATACTTCTCAACTTATCACATAATTATCTCAATGGAAGTATTCCACACCAAATTGGGAACTTGACATTGCTTGAATCTTTGGACATATCTTGGAACCAGTTGGTAGGGAAGATCCCAGAGCAGATCACACAGTTGACATTTCTTGAAGTGTTAAACTTGTCTCAAAATCATTTGATTGGGCACATTCCTAGGAGCAACCAATTTAACACTTTTGGAAATGACTCATATGGAGGAAACCTCAACTTATGTGGATTTCCGTTGTCGAGGGAATGCAATGACAACAATAGGTCATCAAATGAACACCAACAACATGTTGATGAGTTAGAAGACAAATTCATGAGTGGATTTACTTGGAAAGCGGTAGTGATTGGGTTTTGTTGTGGAATGGTATTTGGAATCTTCATGGAAAATCTCATGTCTCGAACTGGGAAGCCAAAATGGTTGTTTGTGACTTTCTACGGAAATAAGATACGTAAAATCGTTCCAAGGAGGAGAAGGAATGCTTGAATATGCTAATGTTAAAAGGATGGATTTGTTACTTTTTACAAATGCGTCACAAATAATGTGAGGTATGCATTTTTCTTACTAGTTTGGATTTCATTTTCACAGGTTTTCCTTTTCTGCATTACTTTGGTATTACAGCTGCAATTGATTTTAAAGGTGGTGGGATGTATGACATGTGGATTGCGTGCACTTGGAGGGAAGCCTGACCTAGCTAGCGCTGGTCACTTGTGATATATGAACTGTATGTTGAACTTTACAAAAAAAAGTCTTTATGTTGCTCTTATATTTGAACTTTACTTATTGCTTATTAGTATTTTATTTCATTTCATTTGTTTATAAAATTGTACTCCTGCAATAATAAAGAAAGTAGGACAAGTCCATCATTGGTTTATGGTGTTTTCCAATTCAAAAGTCGCTATCAACTCAGTGTTGACTAGTGGTTAGTATATTTTTACTCGTGTTGCAAAAATCACGCTTAAACGCCGCCCGGTCGTGGCGAGGAAGGCTGGAATCGGCCTCCTCCGTGGCCGGCCGGCTAGGCGGCCGCCTAGACCGCTTAGCCGGCTGAACCGGCGATTTTTTTTTTTTTTTTTTTTTTTTTTTTTTTTTTTAGTTGTGAGGTGTTAAAAGTTCAGCAAGACATAATTTTTGACTCAATTGCCCGTTTTGGACAATTTTCTTTTTAAAATCGCTTATTTTTTCAAATTTCTCAAAAAAAAAAAAATGTTTCTTTTGCTCTTAATTTTAGTTTTTTATGTAGTTAGATGGTTTTAACAATATTTTGAACCATTTTACAACTACTTATGTAAATAGTTTGTAAGAAAAAAGTAGAAGAACCTTATGTTTTATTAATGAATTTTTATAATTTTTAGTTTTTTAAAAAAAAAATTAAAAAAAATTAACGTATTTTGCAACCTTGATTTTTAATATTCTTTAATTGTAGAATGTGAAGCCATGCAACATCTTGATTATATATTGTTTCCTCATGTGAGAATTTTTTTCGAACAACCATTATTCAATACACATTTGATACATCCTCATTTAGAGAAGAAAATTGCAAGACATTTAAGATGAATGGTACGAGTAAACCAGTTTTCGTTGTGAGCAATGGTGAGCTTACATTAGCATTTACAAATATATATGGTGAACTTCAAAGTTCAAATCATGAAAAACTTGTGGTTTGTTGTTGTTTTGTCAAGACCATTAATTCTCTTTGGACAGTGTTGCATGGGGTTTCAAAAGTGAATGATTTATAGCCCACAACAAAGTTGTAGTTAGATGTGGGCATTATGGAGAACATGAATGGGAAATTAGAATGTCTAGCTTCTAACTAGCAAATTAAAACTGATATATTGACCCAAAGCCTTTTTTTTTAAAGACAATCAGACGATTGTATTAATGAATCAAAGCAGCAATAGAGTCAGGAGGGAAAGAATCCCAATATATAGAGTGATCCTGAGTAAAAGCTAAAGAAGCTAGAGTATGAGCATGTAAATTAACTTGTCTAGACACATAACTTAACGAGCAACGATTAAATAATGACATAGAAGTCCTGCATTGATCCACCACGACCCCAACATAGGACAAGATAGTCGTTGTTTCCTGCTGTAGAAAACTTCATAGTACCGAGCAATCCGTGAGAGGACTCACAGTTGTGATGTTCCTTTCCATTAGCCAAGATAACGCCTCCTTAAAGCCAGAGCCTCTGCCATAAGCGGTGAGAAACAGGCCGGAAGCTTGCCCTTTCTCGCTGCCATGAACGAGCCCTCCGAAGAGAGCAACACAATTCCATACATGGCCTCCCCGGTGTCCTGCAGGAAACCGGCGTCGACGTAGCACTGCGGGCCTTCGTGCTCTTCGATCGCTGCTGCTGCTGCCAACGTGGGCTGTGTGGAGCGGTGATGCACCTGCCGGAAAGAGTGCATGGCGGTGGCAGCCCTCCTCCAAACGTCGCCGGGGCGTGGGAGAGCCCCCTTCCATGTGGCAGAATTCCGGCTTCTCCACATGTGGTACAACACAGCCACCATCAGTCCACATTGCTCCTCCGTCAAAGCTGCCAATGCACCCACAAGCCATGTTGGGAAGGAGTTGGTAACAATATTTGTGATAGGTAATTCTGTAACAATCGAAACAAGTCTAGAATATTCACAAAATATTAGAGCATGCATAACATCTTCATGAGCCAAACCACACATTTGGCATGTAGGACTCACTTCCACCCTCTTTATAATCAAATTGGTAGTAGTGGAGAGATCGAATATCACAAATTTCTCTCCATAGGAATGTCTTCCATTTGGGAGGAACCTTTAGTTTCCATAGTGTAGCCCACTTATCAAAAGCACCCCAACAATATTTCTATAGGCATTCTTTACTGAATAAATTCCTTTGGGATCACCAAGCCAATACCATAAGTCTTCATAATCTGGGCTAACAGGAATTTTAGATATACGAGTCACATCCTCAGTAATAAATAAATCAGATAGAATATGGGGATCCCAAGTATTAGTCTGCTGATCAATCAGTCCTGCCACTAGAGCACTTCTCAATTCCATAGGCATATCTGTTTGAACTAGCGGGCTAGGGTTGTCTGGTAACCATGGGTGACCCTAGATTAAAGTCGTTCTACCATTACCAATCCTCCTACGCACCCCAGAACAAACAATACCATGTGCAACCATAATATTCCTATAGCAATAACTTGGGCAGTTGCCTATCGTTGCATCAATAAATGAAGTAGTAGGATAATACCTTGCTTTATATATCTTTGCTACTAGGGAGCTGGAGTTTGTGAGGAAATGTCATGCCTATTTTCCTAGCATAGCTAAATTAAAACCACGGAGATCTTTGAAACCCAATCCACCAAAATTCTTAGGAATACATAATATATCCCATACCTTCTAGTGAATTCCTCTCTCTGTGCCACTTCCCCACCAATACATGTTTATGGTTCTCTCAATAGATAAACAAATTGAGTCAGGTAGGAAGAAAACACTCATTGTAAAAGTAGGCATAGATTGAGCCACACTTTTCAATAGCACCTCCTTACCAACCTGCGAGAGTAACTTTTTGTTCCATGAACTAATCCACTCTCTGATTTTATCCTCCACATAAGAAAAAACAGCCCTTTTATTCCTTCCCACAAATGAAGGTAGACCAAGATATTTGTCAAAATTGGGGGCTTGTTCTACCTGCAAACATTCCGCCACTGTAGCCATATCCTCTTCCCGGGTATTCCTACTGAAATAGACATTGGATTTATGAAAATTGACCATTTGACTAGACAGATTTTCATAACGTACCAGACACTGTTTTATCACATTGGCCTCCTAAATATTTGCCTTAAAGAACAGCAGGCTATCATCTGCAAAGAACAGGTGTGAAATAGGAGGGGCCCCTCTAGCCAACCTACATCCATGTATAGATCCTGCCATCTGAGCCTTTTGCAACAACATTGATAATCCTTCCGCACAAATAATAAATAAATATGGGGAGAGAGGATCACCTTGCTTGAGTCCACGGGAGGGAGTTATGCGCCCACTATTCACACCATTGACCAAAATATTATACTTCACTGTGGTCACACATAGCATAATCAGTTTGACCTAGTGATCATCAAAACCCATAACCACAAGCATTTTTTGTAAGAACTGCCATTCCATTCTATCATAGGCCTTTGCTATATCCAACTTTAGAGCCCCCATCCTATCAAAACACACTGCTTCCTATTCAAATAATGGCCTACCTTAGCAGCTATTAGGAAATTATCCGTGATGAGTCTACCAGAATTAAAGCACTCTGGGAATCCAAAATTAGATCCTCCATTAGTGGTTTCATTCTGTTTGTTATCATCGTAGCCATAATTATGTACAACACATTACCCAGAGCAATCAGTCCCATATCAGCTACCGTTTTCGGCTCACTATTTTTAGGGATCAAAACCACATTCGTATCATTCAATCTATCAGGAAAGGAAATAGAATTTAAGCAGCCCAAAATAAACGAAGACACATCACCTCACGCTACATCCCAAAAGTGCAACACCCCGTGTTACGGCCTTTAATTCCGAATTAATTATTTAATTAATCCCGTTAATAATAATTAAAAATGATTTAATTTGGTTAGGATTCCCTTTAATTAATTAATATGGTCCACCATGGACCATGAACCCTTATCCCTAAACCAAGCCTTTAGTCCTATAAGGAATAGAATCAGTAAACCCATACCACTCAGACCCTAATTAGGACTCCTAGATATATATATAAGGACATAGGAGGCACCTAGAAGTCACACCACAATAGATATCACCAAACAAGAATTCCCAAGGGATTCCCCACCACCAAGCCTAGGGAGATCAAACGGATTGAAATATTAGGGAAGAACCTTAATAACCAAGGGAGGATTAATTAAGGCTAAGAGGTAATCCATTTCTCAACAAAACCTATTTTCTTTGCTATGATATACTTCTTTGGCTCCCTCTATATACTTGTGTCTTGACGAATTTCTTTATGATATTTGCGATATAATCTTGATTGATTGATGTGATAATTTTATGAGTGATCTTGATGATCTTGATGTCAAAAAGAGGTTATTGATATTTATGTGATGATTCTTGATAAATCTTGATGGTTCTTGATGATGAAAATAAAATATGATTTTGATGGCTTGGGTGGGATTAGAGCCCTAGGTTGGATTGGGAATTTGTATTGAGATGTTCTTGATTTATATTTGGGGAGGGATTCGCATGTTCGGGTGTTGTTCATGTTTAGAAGTCATGTTAGGATGTGTTCAATATGATTCTTGCTTTTGATCCATTAATTACCTACGTGGTGTCGTTATTTACGTTTAAAAGTGTTTAAGCATGGTTTCGGGTTCCACGGAGGATCCCGGGATTAAGGAGTCAGTGGGGGGTATGTGGGGGTAGGGGAACCCGCCACCAACCCGCTGCCCCAAAGAGCATCACCGGCAGCGGGCAGCCGGCGGGTAGGCGACTGCCCGCCGGGCACCCGCTACCCGGAAACTCGTCGCCGGCGGGTGGTCCTCCACCCACCGGCTACCCGCTGGTTTGTCACCCACCCTGGGTCTTTGGCTTCCCCGTTTGATGTTCCCCATTCCCCGTGGTGTCCCAACGGACCCCGTTTGTCGTGCTTGAGTCTAGCTTGATGTTTCGGGTGCCATTCGTAGGATAAAAGAGTCTTAGGAATTGCATGATAGTTGAATCGGTAACCCGTTTACCTAGGTAGAAGTTGTATGAACCCCTTAGGACTACCCTTAGTATGTGAATGATCACATGTAAGTTTGTTTATGCACCCCCCCCCCTCCCCTCTTCCCAATGTGCTATTATGTGCTACAATGTGTTATGTGATGCATGATTCCCCAATTTGGTTGCGATCAAATTGGCTATACGGGTAGTTGGATGGGTTGAGAACCATACCAACTGTTAACCAGGCCGGTTGCGATCGGTCAGGTATATAAATATTATATAGGGTTGCGGTCCACTGTTTGGTTGCGATCAAACTGGTTACTTATGAGCTGCGGTACATTCTCCTGGCTGCGGTCAGTGATTCACTTCTTGGACTGCGGTCCACATGGGCCTCGTGTGCTATGACCCACCGAACTGGACGCGCCAGGCGGTGTGTAGGGCCAATAAGCCCGAGGATGGCTGTAGTCCACCGAATGAGCAATCAGGCGGTGTGTAGGGCTACGGCTGGCTGCGATCCACTGAGTGATGGACCAGCGGTGTGTAGGGTCGTAGTCTCCGAGGATCATCGCCCACCGACTGAGTCCCTCAGCGGTGTGTAGGGCTTGATCCGCTACGATCTACCGACTGTGCTCGTCAACGGTGTGTAGGATCGTAGTCCCCCCTTGTAAAGAGGATCACAGTCCACCGACTGAGTGCGTCAGCGGTATGTAGGACTGTGGTCTGCCGCTGAGTTCATCAGCGGTCTATAGGGTTGGTTGCGATCAACTCCCTTCATGCTGCGGTATGAGGTAGGGTGCTGCGGGGCCGTGTCAGTGCTATATGCACTAACCCTCATGTTCGGGGCATGCGATTGGTCCCGTGGCGCCACCAAAGTGTGCTTGTGTGATATGAATGATGATTGGATGATGATATGATTGATTTGAAAGTGATCTGTGACCTTAGATGCGTATTCTTTATGATGATTGTCTCTACTTATCTGTTATCATTGATTATTGTGCTTGCCCCTATTTGCTGAGTCTATTCCTGGTTTTAAAGCTAGAGTCTCCTAAGTATATATCTTCCTGCTTCAAAATGGTTTTCCTCTATATATATATATATATATATATATATATATATATATATATATATATATATATATATATATATATATATATATATATATATATATATATATATATATATATATATATATATATATATATATATATATATATATACCTATATTGTATTTCAACGCGTTGGAATGGGTTACCAGCATCATTCGCTGAACAGATATATTTGGCTTTCAAGCACCGATGAGTAGATCCGGAGCGCGCTAGAGATCCGAAGAATAGATTAGTTAGTTTCCCTTTCGGCCTGCGTGCCATGATTATGTATTGACGTTTGCATTGAGGATTTTAGTTAGTTAGCCTGTGCATCTGAGCTCTCCAGCTCAGATGTGGCATAGCACCCCGCACTCTTATGTTGTGAGATTTAGTAAGGATTTACCTTCATTATATAAGTTTTAAAAGTTTAAAAAAATTTCGGGGTGTTACAAAAAGTGCTAATAGAAACCCGGATTCATTCCATCTGGTCCTGGAGCTTTATCAGGAAATATAGCAAAAAGTGCAGTTTTGACCTCCTCAGATTCAAAGGGTCGCAACAGGGTGATATTTTGATCATGAGACACGCGAGGGGTGAAATTATGAAACAGGGGATCATCGCACATAGAATTACTAGAGGAAAAAATAGATCTATAATAATCCAAGACAACCAAATTCATGGCCTCACCATCCACCCACACACAAGCAACATTCTTAATTTTATGAATAAAATTCTTTTTCTTACGAGCAGAAGCATACCTGTGGTAGAATTTTGTATTGGCATCTGCACCACGGAGCCAGTGTTGCTTAGCTCGCTGCCTCCAAAATACATCTTCTTGGGCCTCCAGCTGGCAAAGCTGGCTCTCCAATCGCTGGAACTCGGCCAATGCAGCCTGGTCCCTCGGATCTCTCAGCACCTCCTGCTTCTTTCGCAGCAGCTTCATACGGTCCCCAAACTTAAGAAAGTGCTCCCCTCCCCACCGCATCAGTCTACTACCACAATGCTGCTGACAATTCAGCAACCCTTCAGTCCTCCCATCCTGCCAGGCAATCTCTACTACATCACTGCACCCCTCATCGTGGAGCCAAGCCATCTCGAACCTAAAACCCCTCGGACCCCTACCCCTTTGCAAAGTTGTTACATTAATATTGAGGAAAAGAGTCGAGTGATCTGAAGTACAAGTTAGAATATTTTCAACCCAAGCACCACCATTCATATCACTCCAACCTACCGTAGCCAACACCTTATCTAATCTCTCCTCTATCCAGCCCTCTG